TTGCTTGCATTGCTTTGGATGAGAGATCTAAAATTAATTATGGGATATCCTTTGAAAATACTTGATGTTTCTCTCTTGCCAATTTTAGTATCTCGTCTGTGGTTTTGTTCAATCTGGCTATAATGTGCCTTGGGGAAGATCTTCTTGGGTTGATTCTATGTGGGGTCCTTTGTATTTCTTGGGTCTGGATATTTGAGTGCCTCTCTAGGTTTGGAAAGTTTTCTTCCAGGATTTCATGGAATAGATTGTCAATGCCCTTATTAGTTTCTTCATCTTCTGGGATACTGATGATCTAGATGTTTGGGGGTTTAATGGTACTTAGTATTACTCATATATTATTCTCATTTTTGGGGGGTTATTTTCTTAGTCTTTTTGGTGAATTTCTCTAGCTCAGAGTTTCTATCATCATCTGAGATTTGATCTGCATGATCTAATCTGGTTTTGATATTTTCAGTGGAAGTTTTGATTTCCTGTATTACAGCCTTCATCTCTAACAATTCCATTTGATTCTTTTTTATAGTGCGTATTTTCTCTTTTAGATCGTGCAAGAACTTCCTCACCTCCTGGAACTTGACGTTTCTTTTCTCCTACATCTTCTGGAGCTCGTTATCTCTATTTTCTTGCATCTCTGTTAGCTTTGTCACTATGAATATTTTAAATTCTTTATCTGATATTTCCATGAGTTCCCTTGTATTCTTTGTGGAAGAAGAGGAGTTATTGTTTTTCACTAGAGGAGAGATATTTTCTTTGTTTCTCATATTTCTTGTACCTCTCTGGTGGTTTCTGGTCATCTGATGGATTATACGTTTTGTCCTGGCTCCTGGCTAGACTGGGGAGCCGGAGTGTGAAGTCTTGGGCAGAGGGTCTTCGGTGGTGGAAATCCCTGAATGGGGCCACTTGGAACTCAAATTTAAATGGCTGCTAATTAGCTTACCCTGGCTCCTGGCTAAACTGGGGTGAAGGAGGGTGAAGTCTGAGCAGAGGGTCTTTGGTGGTCAAATCCCTCTAGATTCAGTAGAAAACCCAAATCATGCCTTTTTTTTGGTCCTTTCTTTCTTTTCTTTTTTTTTTTTTTATTAAATCATGCTTTTTTTTTTTT